AGCAAAACCTTACCTCATATAAAACAATTATAGCCAATCAAATTTAGCTAAATATCTTACCTGGGGGTGGGGGTAAGTCTCTATAGTAAATAAATATTAAATAATAAATGTCAGCACCCTAATCCAGTAATCCAATTTTAATGATTTTGGTGCTGTTTAAACCATCTCATCGAGACAAATCGAATGGTACTAAAATTGTTAAATTCTGCTTGCTGGATCACAAGATATTAATATTCAACAACTAAATTATAAAGACTCAACAATCTTGATATCTGATAATCAAAATTGAATAATTTTAGTAACATTCAATTCATCTCGCTGAGATGGTTCAAATGGTACCAAAATCATTAAATTCAAATCACTAGATCGTAAGATATTTGTAAAAACTATTTGCTATATATAAAATTTACTATATTACAAGTAACTTTATAGTAAATAAATGTTAAATAATAAATATTAGTGTTCTAAGTATTAAATTAAATAAAAATTGTTATTTAGCTACTATACTGTATATTTCAAATTAAAACTAGAAAAATATTATCTTTATATTTATTTAATAAAACCTTTATTTTTATAAGTATAGTAAAAATTTGTTCGATTTTAATCAATATAATTTTCAAATTAATTTTTAATTGGTATCAGTACTATCTTTGTATAAAGAATCAATAGATCTCAAAAAATAAATATTAAAGGTTTTAAACCCAATTTTATTCTTTAAATTATTTAAAAAACAATTTATTTTTTTTTATAATTTACATACAATCCTTTGCTAGCAAGATGCATCCGAATAATAGTAATAGAGACCGGCCTGCTTTATGCAGTGTGGGAAGCCACCGGCTGATGCTACGTATCGTGATTCGACCAGGCGGCGATACCCAGCGCAATTATATTTGCCATTTCTGGGAACATCGCACGTCTCGGTTTATACATCAATTGCACTGATGTATGCTGCAAATTCTCAATTAAGGTCAATCAATAAAATTTGATATCTGCGCTACTAGCCAGATGTATTCCAAATTATAATATATCTAATGCGTGCAATGCTTTTTGATAGAACGTTTATTAATCTCAGTATTTAATAGGTTATTCAATAGGTTTGTAAGTTTGTAGACATGGAGTTGGATAGTTTTACGTCAATTGAACCATTGCTATCCAATGTAATAAGAAAACCAGTTATTGAGACTGTTTATAGAGAATCGTTGCTAATCCCCTGAGTAACCGGAAGTTCACAAGGTAAAGGATGATTATTGAATCGGATAAAAAGTTCGTCTAAAAAAAACAAAATCAGGAACATCACGATGAGGTAGTTGGTTGGACTCAAAGAAAAACTACCCTCTTGATTAAAAGAATGGAAATACCTGATCGAAGATAGAAAGAAAATAGAGAAATCCTAGATATCAGCTTCTCAGGCAAATTCAAATAAACATGAAAGACAAAGATCGATCAAAGTTAGATCGTGATTAAGATGTGGATTTTAAAGTAAGAATTTTATACGTTATTTTAAAATTATTGCACATCATAAAATTTCTTCGAAAAGTGCAAGGAAAATCCCACAAGAATATAATAGGTAGTAGAACTTATTCATTCGATATACTGTATTTTAGACATTTGAATTAGATCATAGAGAATTTATTTTCACAAGAGAATGAGTAATAGATTAATTCAAGAATTTATTAATTTTTTAGTAATGTTGATTAGTCTGCAAAGGATTGATTTATTTAGAAGAATATATTATAGTGAAATAATTACATTCAATTAGATTTGTTTAGCATGAATTAAATGATTAAATTGGTTATCTGAAATTATCAAGCAAAAGAAAAAAAGGAAAAAAAAAAAAAGTTTTTAAGTTTTTGAAGAACTTCCAACACCAGTATCAATTTCATCCTGACTTAGATTAATCCAATTATTTTCAATTGAAGAATCAGTCTCACCATCATTTCCACTATTTTCTGAATCATCTGAATTAAAATAATTTTCCCATTGCTTTGTAAAAGTTTTAGCGTTTTGCATGATAAAAGGACTCATTTCCTTAATTAATGCTTTCATAAATTGTGTATTAGCAATAAAAACTCCCAATCCTCCAGTAATAAACACATATTTCCAAGGTACGATCCATACTATCAAACTAGTAAAAGCCAAAATAACTATTACAACTTGTGTTATCAATAATGCTTCACTTTCGTTACTCCAATCAAAGTGCTTAAGAAGATCAATCGCTACATCGTAACCATCTGAAATTAAACCCATTAAATTTTGAATATTTTGCATATTTTTCAAATAATCAACTGAATTTTCTGCTGGAAGGTAATTATTTAACCGACTAAATTGTTCAAATATACGATTTTTTTTCTTGGTTTGTGAATCTTTAGGAAAATTGTAAATAAGAATTGCAAGGAAAGCTATTAATGGAACGAGAATTAGCAGTTGCGGATACAAACCTAATAATAAATGAAAAAAATGAATTTTTGTTATTATGATCAATTCACATTTTGTAAAATATAAATCAAGAAATATTTTATAAAAAATTTACATATATAAACGTAAATAACCATTGCCAATAATGTATCTGATGGATTTTTCCACATAAATATATCTTCAGCAAAATCTTGAATAGCGAAAATAAACCCACATTTTTGAACAAATTTTCTAAAATTATCACCAAGTAATTTAATATTTAAAGGAGGATGATGAGTAGAATCTGAAGGCATTTTAGCAGAGTCGGCAACATTTAAAGCAGAAGAAACTAAAAGATCTTGAATTATTTTTGTATCAAGCGTTTTTACAGGAGATATAGGGCTTGCAGCTTGAGGCGTGAATGAATCAACTGAACTAGCACGTCTTTTACTAGTAAGTTTATGCCCTCTTGAACCATCTGAATTATTCTTGCTGTTATCATCATTTGAATCAGAATCAATCATGTTTACAATGTTAAAGAATAATCTCGAACTTTTTTTTTAAAAAAAAAAATGTAATGAAATACTGGTTTGAGATACGTATAAATTATGTCGTAGCTTATATGTAGTACAGAATTGACGTAATTATAATAGAAGCACGTGACTTTAATTACAGAAAATTATTACGTAATTTATACTAAACACGTATATATAAGCACGCGGCTTAGCAGCGATCTGGCGTTAGAAAATCTTCAATCTTCAAAACTTGAAAAAACAAAAATAAACAAAAAATAAAAAAAAACTAGATAATTATTAAGATGCCTTCTCATGTTAACTTGGCTGTTTCTAATCTTCAAAGAGATAAGGATCGCCTTATAAAGATCGTAAATGCACGTTTGATCCGTGACCATAAAATAATCAACGACGACGTACTTTATTTATATAACGGAAAAATTATTGATCCGCAGACTTACTTTTTTACATTTGGCGATTTACCAGATATTGTGATTGATGCTAAAGGACTATTGGTAGCTCCAGGATTTATTGATGTACAGATCAATGGGGCTTTTGGTGTGGACTTTTCTCAATGTCAAAATGAAGAAAAAATGAGGAAAGGAATAGGCAATGTTGCAAGAGGATTGATGAAATACGGTTGTACTAGTTTTGTTCCGACAATTATTAGCTCAGGGATAGAAGTATATCAAAAGGTAATTTATTTTATCATTTATAATATAATTTTATGAATTTATGATGAAATATTTTAATAAAATATAATAAGTATATTTTTACTATCTTAAATAAAATTAATAAAATAAACATAGGTTCTCCCACTTTTGAAGCCTCGTAAAGGAAATAAAACTAACGGGGCTGAAATTTTAGGTAATTATTAAAAGATTCCCATACTATTTCATTCGTTTATTTCATGGAGCAGTTATTTCAATTATTGCAAAGGCGTCCACGTCGAAGGTCCATTTATTATGCCAAGTAAACGTGGCGCCCATGAAGAATCTCATCTTCGTGTTGCTTCTAGCGGTTTTTCAGATTTTGCAATGGTTTATGGATTGAATTCTGAAGGAAAAGATCAAATAGTCAAGATCGTAACTGTCGCACCGGAAGTAGAAGGTGTTTTAGATAGTGTGGAAGATCTGGTTCGTGCGGGTATTACAGTCAGCTTAGGTATGCATTCTCAATTTTACAATATTCCAAATGCTTATATATTCATTAAATATTAATCTGACTATTTAGGTCATTCTTCTGCTACTATTGCTCAAGCGGAATCAGCTGTTGAAAAAGGAGTAAGTCATATTATATTCATATTTATTCATATTAATTCGTATTGATCACATCATATTATACCTCAGTTGCTCATTATTGTTGTTTATATAATTATTTTATGGATAGGCTCGATTTATTACACATTTATTTAATGCCATGCAACAGGTAAAAAAAGTTTGTACTAAATTAAATCTTTCATGTAAAAATCTATATACAAAAAAACTATTGGTCACAATATTTGTAGTTTCATCATCGTGATCCTGGTATAATCGGTCTACTTGGTACAACACGCATCCCACGTCCATATTATGGTATCATATGTGATAGTATTCATGTGCATCCAAATTCTATTAAAATGGCTTATGATTCTCATCCTGCTGGAGCAGTTCTTGTTACTGATGCTATGGCAGCCATGGGATTGCCTCTAGGAGATTATACTCTAGGTGATATTCCGGTTCGTAAGGTTAATGATGAACGAGTTGAAGTTATTGGTGACGGACGACTTGCTGGATCAGTCATTACTATCGATGCTTGTGTTAGGAATTTTAGAAAATTCACAGGATGTACAATTGTTGAAGCTGTTGAAGCAGCAACATTACATCCGGCAGAATTGTTAGGAATACAAAACATTAAGGGAACGTTGAATGTTGGAGCCGATGCAGATTTAGTATTTCTAGATGATGATCTTAGGGTTGTGAAGTGTTTTATTGCTGGGGAAGAAGTTGACATTTGAGAATGGATAATTAAGACTTTTTTTTTTTTTTTTTTTTTTTTTTTTTGTAAAACTCACATTTAATACATATGTATTTTAGCCAATGTATTAATACAAATATTAGATTATTATTACAAATAATAAACAAATATATTATCTCTCGCATCCCATCCATTATTTTTTTTTAAACTAATATTTAGATATTGGTAAGATATATTATTGAGGTATCAAACGATATCCATAACGAGCAACAAAAATTAAACTAAAAAAAGAAAAAGTATTATTGTATTAAACCTCTCCTATCTTACATTATCTTCATTAATAAGTTGTTAATAAGTTGTAGATAGCTTACCTAAGAACAGTAACTAGGCCAGCTGGCATAAATTTTCCAGATTTATAGAAACGAATGCCCATTACAATAAGCAACACCAACGATACAACTAAATATGTAATAAATTATAGAATCATGTTATAAATGATAGATAACAGAAGAAACATTTGTTATAAATTATAAAAAATATTAAATAATTACATACGTAATGCTACAATCACATCCCTTGGATTAGCACTAACTCGACTCGCACCATATGCCTGAAAAAAAATTTAGGAATTGAATTTTTTATCCGACGCGATAATGAAAAAAGAAAAGAGAATAATGGTAAAATTCTCACCGCCAACACACCAAAAGTTAAACCGAAAAACAAAGAAGGTAGACTCCCTAAAAAGTGAAGGGTCAGAGAAAACCCTTTTTTTTTTTTTCTCTATAATATGTACAATACCTGCTTTTATGTAACCAACAACTCCTCCCAACGAGATAGTCTAAATGATAATAAAACAATTCTTGTGTTATTAACAAAATTAGAAAATTAGAAATTATGATTAAAAATAATGCAATAAAAATATTTACGGCAGCGTAAACATAACCAGGATAATCGGTCATTGTAGCTTAAATGTCGAGAAAGAAAAGAGAAACCTTTGAAGGTATCGGTATGTACTCTTCTGGTAATAAAAAAACCGATAGTAAAAGTTACGTTTTTGACATGATTTTTTAATGTGTTTGATCGATGGAGATCACGAGATACCGTAGCTTTTTTTAGATTAGCGTCAGATTGTGAAATGTTAAAAAGCGTACGTACAACAACAGTACTAACGCTAAACAAATTCAACTTTACATCATACTGATAATACTTTTTTTTGAGCAGAAATCTACTACGTAAAAATTATTCAAAAATTTTGATCATATAAAATTCATGGTGTCCAATACTCTTTCTTGTCTTTAACTATTATATTTTTCAGGAAGTAGTTCTTTTAATTAAATTGCTTCATATTTGTTCATATTCGTCGCAGAACGAAAATTTAATTTAATGACAGGTTTCGTGTTATAAGAAGGTTGTACGTACGTACGTACTTAATACAGTTTAAAATTTCATATCGATATTGATTGTCATAGTTTGTTTCTCAATCCGAAATATTATGTAATTTTAATGTAGGATATTTCTGTCGCATATATATATTTTAACCTTTCTAGTCACTCCATATAGGCATATTATATAAAAATTCTCTATAAACGTCTTAAATATAGGAAAAAAAAAAACTTTACAATAAGCGTAACCTTTTAAAAAATAGCCGTATAATTGCTGATGGTGTAATTATAGAGAGATAAGACTATTTTTTACTTGACAGTAAAAAATAAAGTTAGATTGAAAACTTATCTTGATACGAGATCTACTTCGCAAAGATCTAGCTAGTCTATATTAGTATATGATTTGTCATAAAAAAAAAATTTTTTTTTTTTTTAATAAAATAAAAAAATTTGGTCTTATAAAAGTTTATGTGGGTCTTCCACAAGACAAAGATCTAAAAATGTATAAAAACTTTCTTATCAGCGTATGCACCTCTCCCCTGAATTAAATCCAAGTTATGATTGGAGCTAACTGCGCATGTATGTGTCTTCTCCCAGTTTCTCCCAGCTACTGTAGTCGCAAGTTCTTCTCCAGATAAAGCTAATAACTTTATTTAAGTGCAGGAAAAAAATAAATAATTGCAAAATATTTAATAATATATACAAGGTATGAAATTTCTAATAAAATTTGATCGTATTATTCGTATCGGTATTGTGAAAATATTTAATTAATAGCCTTGTATGTATTGTACTCCTCACGCACGTACGTACAGTACATACATCCGTTTTACAAACCAAATATGACTTCTACATCATCATTACTGAAAAGTGCTACTTTTGTATTGTTCAGACGTCCAGGCCTGCCGAATATGTTAAAAGCATAATAATAATAAAATTTTTTTTTTGAAAAAACAAATTTTATTTTGCAGGTTGGGCAAAAAATTTTTACGTATCAGGCCCGTGCAGGTCCTACGTTGTACTATACGTATGTAAAATTATTACGTATTTTATATGTATTAAGACAAAGCAATAACTTTTTATTTTAAACCAGCTGAGTTACTATACATAAAGCCATTACACGCCAATCAAAGTTGTATTAACATTACGTTAGAAAAAAAAAAAGAAAAAAGTGTGAAAAAAATTTACAAGGAATTCAAGAAATAACATCATTCATTATTTGCGTTGTTATTATTACTATACTAACACTGAATATTAATACAGTATATATTTCACAAAGTAAAAAGAAAATAAATAAATAAAATTTCAAGATGTTAAATCCAATACAGTCTCTTTTTGAGCAAAAAATCTGTGAAATCTAAGATGACTTTGATTTTCTTCAGCTTCTTCTATTACAGTCTTAATAATCGAATCAATATCACCTATTCTTATCCCAAAATAATTAGCTAATTTTGGTAGAAAAGTTTTTAAAGTGTCACTTAAAATTTGAGCCGAAGTTTCTCCCAATCTACCAGCAAATGAACCTAAAGGAAGATATTTTATCTCATGTTGAATATTACGAAGTTCAGCTGTCATATGCATGTAATCCATGAAGTGACTGATTTGTTCCAGGCGAAGGTGACTTGAAACTGGGAAATTGTTTAAACAGAATTCGAGTTTGGGCAAGGAATTAAACGGAGTAATTTTTTGAAATAGGTAAAATTAAACAAGTAATTAAGAAAGTTTAAACGGTTAGTTAAACAGGTAATTAATTTGGTAAATAAAATACTGAAATAGGGGAAAACAATGGAATAATTTAACATACAAAGATTCAACAATTTTTCAGTGGTAGGACCTCTTGTTCCCCAAGAATAGTCATAATCTGACAACTACCAATATTAGAAAATACATATATATGTATATATTGGTTAAAAAGAAAATATATAAAGAGAAAATAATATTGTAAATACAGAAATAGATAGATATAAATATACCTCTAACCATCCACCAGGTTTCAACACTCTGACTAACTCCTAATTATATTGAAAGCGGTGAGTGAAAAGTATTAATAATAACCAATTTTAATAAATAAATGAATAAATAAATAAATAAAAATAAAACATACCAAAATAATTTTTTTCCATTCGGATTCACTATATTCAATTGAACGATTTTTCATACTCACAAAGTCAAAAGAATCATCTTAATAATAATAATAATAATAATAATAATAATAACGTTTAATAATGTTTAATAAGCAATCTCTTTTTAATAATAATTACTTTTAAGCAATACCTTCAAATGGTAGGCCATTAACAGGATCAGCTTCTATAAATTCAACATCGAAGGGTTTATTAACGGTTGCTAAACTTGAATATGGAGAAGTATATGTGCCGATATAGGTACATCCTGGATAGTCAGCAGATAATTCGAATAACCAAGTTCCTACATCGCATCTAATTAAAATGAAAAAAAAAATTATAGAATATTATTTTACATAATTAAAAAATGAAAAATAATTAAAAAAATGAAAAATAATTAAAAAAATGAAAAATAATTAAAAAAATTACCCAACGTCCAAGACTTTAGCCCATCCGGTTTTAAGCACCTTGTGTACTGGAGAGTTAAAATTTCCCCTAAAAATTTCTCTTGTAAGATGATGCCTCGAATGTAAATATTCTTTTTCTTCTTCAGTTAGCGGAAATGTTTCTTGATACCCCGAAATGGATCTTGAAAATTGTCTTCCCATTTTTTTTTTTTTTTTTTTCTTTTTTTTTTTTTTTTTTACGGATCGGAAAGAGTTAAAAAATTTCCGAAATTGAAAATTTAATTCTGAAATAGAATAATAGAATTTCTAATTCTGAAATAAGTAAAAAATTTTGTTTTTCTTTTTTTTTTTTTTTTTTTTATGGAATTATAACGATATAAAAAATAAAAAAAATTTTTTTCTTTTTATTCAAATATCGCCTAGAGTGATTCTTTTTATTCGAATGCTGCTTTTCAAAGAAAAAAAAAAAAAATTAATCAATGGCAGTCATAAGACTACACTTCTTTTTTTATTGAATTAAAAATACAATAAGGATAAATAATGCCCATCGCAGCTTTTGGTGTTCGGTGCAACCAGTACATAAAGTTTTAGTGACTAACTTTATCCGATTTCAACATTTTGGAAAATCTCCGACATAACCAATAATATAAATAAGTAGTCCGAATTTTTGTTCGATCGCGTGAATATTTGAAATAAGATTGAATAAATTTTTTTTTAAATATATAGTATGTATATAGTGGTAGGCTAAATAGTTGGCAGTGGTTATTGCAATTAAGGTAACATAAATGCGCCTATAGATGCAAAAATTTTTAAGTAAAGCATCTTTCATAAGTTACAAATTTATCAAACAACACTTTATTTATGCCTAATTTTTTGCACGACGGATAAAATTAGAGATATTCAACCTTCAAGTAAATCTTTGTTTGTATCGCGAAGCGCATATATAAAAAAAAGGTCAGTCATCTAGATGTATTATTGTTCTTTCACGCGTTAAAGATTAACATATACATATTTCGTGAAGCACTAGTCAACACCATAATGTTATACAAACTTTATTAAATTCTATTAAAAATACAAAAATTATTGGTGAAAAAAAAGATATCACATGTAGCGATACAAAAAAATTTGTTAACTCTAACTATATAACTAACTTTAATGATTTTCAATTACATAAATATATATATAATATATATATATATATATTTAATCGTTTTATTGTTTGTTGTTATTTTCTTTTTTCTTAAAGTTGGTTACGAATTTCCGATTTACTAATAATGGTAATTTTTTTTAAAGAATATATATAGTAATACTTATTGAATCAAAAATATGCAAATAATTTTAATTAATGCAATTATTAAATCAATGAAGTTATATAATTTTAATTAATGCAATTATATAATTCAATTAATACAATTATAATCCCATTGACCTTTGATAATTAATATAGAAATTCATAGAGTAAATTCATAAATTCATAGAGTAATTCATAGAGTAAATTCATAGAGTAAATTCATAGCAAATAATTACTTATTACTTAAATTATAAAAAAACAAATACAAACGAATGGTTTTTTTTTTTATTAAAAAAATTTATTATCATTATTATTATTAGAAATCTCGGTTAAATTTACATTTCATTGACTCTGTGGAAAAACAGAAAAAAAATAATTTACGAATTAATTACTGTATTACGAAAATCTAGATTCTCTACTGTATAACGTATAATATTATTTCTAAATTATTGTTATGTATTTCTTTTAATTACAATAAAAAAATTCGTGCCTATCTTTTTTTTTTTCTCACGATCTAGAAATCTAGAAATCTAGAACAATGAATACAGTATAAGTTTCTCTTATTATAAGTTCATTAAAAAAACTGACTTATTTGGATATTTAGTGTTAATTACTTGCATAATACAGTAATATATAATTAAATATATTATATACCTATGTAGTGGTGTGATCAAATTTATCAAGCCAACTTTGCTTAAACTGAAAGACTTTGGATATATTATCAGTTATCAGTTACTATTATGGTAATTCCTAACATTTATGGTCGAAAGATTGATTTTAGCCAATTTTTTTTTTAGTTATCGACTAACTCAATGTTATAAAAAAAAATTTGTACGTACGTAATTATTTCAATAAGGTTTTCTTTCTTCAATAAGAGATGCGGCATCGCATTATCAAATATTACAACGAACCTATCCGATTTGAACAATAAAACGCAAAGACGATCGAGCTCATTCCTAATTTAAATAATCGATAAGTAAATAAACAAGCAAAAATTATGGACTAAACGAGTTTGTTACATCTAAATACATTCCACTCAAGGTACTGTACACGTACATACCGGATACAAACATACGGACGTACAGTAAGTACGTACGTACGTACTGTACATGTATGTACTATCTGCTATACTACATACTATCTGCTATACTACATACTATCTGCTATACTACATGCTATCTGCTATACTACGGTACTATACTGTGCAGTATATGCATCATTTGCATTCCAACAATAAAAAGATATACATTCACATTTCGAAAATAATAAATAGATTGACATTCACATTTCGAAAATAATAAATAGATTGACATTCGTATTGCGATAATAAAAGATTGACATTCGTATTGCGATAATAAAAGATTGACATTCGTATTGCGATAATAAAAAGATAGACATGTTATCCTTTCCATTACACAAAATACTGTATATCTTAAAATATCTTTTTTGTACGTACATTACATACGTACAACATACACACACAATATGTATGCACATATGTACGTGTCAATTGAACTATCGCCTATATCCAAAGTTGTTTAAAGTAATAAGAACTAGAGTAACGGGTCCTGTACTCCATCACCAACTAAATCTGATGTAATCTGGCAAAACTGATTAAAATCTTCTAAATCTTATTTGGTTATTAATGTATAAAAATTTTATCAAAAATATGTGTAACAATTTTGGTCTCGGGTCAACGTTTGATACGTATTAAACGTTTAAGTGTATATACTTAATTGTTGTTAAGAGAATTAAAAATCTTTTTATCATATGACTTTCTCTAAATTTCATTGAAATTATTGGGTATTTATTAGTTTCGATATTAGTTTCGATATTTAGAAAGAATGTTCCACGTATTTTGGTTATTTTTGGTTATTTAATATACTGTATATCTATTGTATATGTATCATTTAATGAAATGTGCTAAACTCTATGATTACAATAATATAACTTATATTTTTTTAAAAAAAAATGTTTTTGTATATCGAGTCTAGATTGAATTTTGAGACTGGATTTGGGATAAAATATACGCAGCATAGATGACATCCTAACTTTAATAATTAATTAATTGATTAAAGTAAGGGTCACCCTATTATATTTTATCCCTATATTTGAAGACTAAACTCCTTTTTAAAATCTGAGACATTTCGCTCCGTAAGTTTTTAGTCTCTCCTTATAAATCTATGAATAAATTTTGCAAAACCTGTCTTTTAAGAGTTCTAATTTATTTATTGAGTGTTATTCTATTTGGAGTAATTAATTCCTTGTTGTTGTAAAGAATAACGTTTAGTTACTATAGCATTTTTTAGTTCTTGATCAATGAATGGCTTTTATTGTTTTTATTATTGAGGGAAGGAATGTTTGAGAAACATGCCTTCCTACTCTGAATGGCAAGGAAAATGTTCGTATATATCTTATCAGTTATAGTTGCAGAGAAAAAAAAGGCTTTAATATTCATTGCATTTTCTTTTATTTTCTTTTAAATACTAGAGAGAATAAATACTATCCATATCTGAGAATAGCCATGAAATTATGAATATTTAATATACTCAATACTACAAAGACTAAAATCTAATGTTAGAAGCAAGATCCTTAATTACTTTGCTGATTGAAATCTACGCGTTTTTATTGGTGATGTACAGTAGAATGAAGCAACTTTTTTCATAAACTTTTCAGGGTTTCTTCCGATAATGATCTTCCTGACAATCAATTCCCTGACAATCTTGATATTCCTGAAAATCACGATAATATTTTTTCCGATAGCCTTTCGTTTCACAACCAATGTAAAACTACGTAACACGGTCATGTGATCACATAATTTAACAACCGTCTTTAGTTTCATATTAATCTAAAAAAATAGATTAGCTAAAAGTTTTATTAATTCACAATATTGGTGTTTAACACCATAGTTATTATATTTCAAAAACCAGTTAAATAATTAATACTTGATGTTCTAAGCAAAAAATGGTTAGCTTCTCAAAAACTTTTTTTGTTAACTTTATTTCTAATTCTACATTTTAATCACTAATATCTATTCCGGGTTTAACCCTAATCTTAAATATTAATATTGGCAACAAATTACTATCATATAAAAAAATATTTGATATCGATCACCATAAAATTTTTTGTAGCTAAAATCTATAAATTTGTGTGAATATTTTTTTAGCTTGTTAAAATTTATACCGATTTGCATAGTAATTTTATATTTTATTATCTTTACATATGCATTAGTAGTTCTGTTAAAACTTAGCAATCAACTAAATGCTAATTACATATAATTATTACAGATCTAGTCCATCACGATTTTGCCCAAAATCACTCCAAGTTTTACTAATGAAATAGTAATATTAATTTTACTATTGCTATACAGTAGTTGGCTGAATGCTGTCCTAACTTACTTTGAATCCAATTAGAAACGGATTTGAACTGGGGATCTGTTTCGAATCTGCATAATGTGTAATTTACAATTATTATTATTTTAATCTATCTAATAATTAAGGATATTCTCAAACACCTCTCTCAATGAACTCAATAAAATTATCTGATTGGCCAATTTGATCAGATAGACCAATCAGATTCTTTGTCGAGTCATTTAAGAGAATAGCTTTCAGTTTTTTTGATTGGCTACTTGTTATATACATGATCCTAATATTGTACATACAAACCCAAAAAAGGATATTTAATGTAAAAAAAATATATATTTATTTATTCGTATGAAATATTAGGATTTGGTTAGGGTTGGATAAAGCTAGTTAGGGAGGAAAATAGTGTTTCTTTATGTCATTTTTAAATAATGTCGGGTTTAAACACTCGTTTTTTTGTATTTTTGCTTTTCACGTGATGTAGCTGAAATTTACCTGATTGGACAATGTAAATCAATTGCCCGGGTAACTTATTTATATAAAGTACGTACTTTTTGAGATAAAATTACACAAGCAAAATTATAGCAATTTTTTAGTTTCAAAGTTAATTCTGAAATTAAATTCTTATAATCTTATTTAGAGAAACACGATATTCTAAAAGAGGAGGAAAAAAACTTCACTTGAATTTTAAAAAACAGTTACTAACAAAATATTTGGTTTGTTTTTTTTTATAATGATTGAGATTTGAATAAATGTGCAAGTTCACGTAAATAAGATGATTTATTCACGAAATATTCGAAATACTACAAAATTATTGAAGATAAAAGTTTTATTAGAGATATCGTAATTTTTATATTGATTAGAGTTCTTGTTTATCAGTCGATAAAAATAAATTTTCATCATGATTTACTGGGTCACCATGCACACGGAATCGATACAGACACGTATACAATGGTTTTCCCCAATTACCAAGTACTCTCATAATGATTGCCTTTATGGGTTTATTCGATTTAAGAATTTGGTTGCTTATTTCGAAAGTTTGCACAGGTGATCCGTTAATATCATATATAAATCGTCCCAAAAAGTGACGAAGCGGTGATGAATCATCCATAGTGGCGAAATTTTTAGAATCTAATAATACTCTTGATTCTATAAATTCTTCTTCGTATCCATTATTGTCTGGTTGATTAGTTTTTCCACCGATACCATCATCAATGATTCCCCAAACTTCAAAGTCTTTAGGTGCGCTTAATATATCAAATCCAGCATCTTTGCTAACATGATCATAAGTTACTGCGGTAACATACACCGGTTGACTTAATAAAATTGCTAATTGTCCTTCTCGACCTGGAAAAGGCCAACACTGACCAACATATGTATCCGGTGATATAGCTGTGATTGGTGACTTTCCGCGTAAAACACCATGACCTGAAATTTGTGCAAACAATCGTTGATACCATTTTGGAGGCCATAATTCAAAGGTTTCGCTTGTATACCGGTTGATTACTTTTGCTCCTTTAGAATACAGGGCGAAATCCGGACGTTCAATTTCTAATGATTTTTTTTCTTGATAACATGTTACAGTATTTCCCATTATCTTTACATTAAATAAAATAATGAGAATTATAAATACACTAAAGTGATGGTTTTTACGCATAATTATTGTATTTGTATCTTGATTTATAGATTTCTTTTCTTTTATTCTCGATCTGAATTTTGACTTGTCTACCGAAGTTTATATTTATATATTAATCTCAATCTTTACCCATCTTTACCCATCATAAGTAAAACTAAAGTTTTACAGATTCTTATCAAACACTTAGAAAAGACTTTTAGAACAATAATGAATGTGAGTGTTTATCTACTGGTTCGTTAGCGTTAAGATTTAAAAAACCTTATTTGTTTTATTTATGCATACTCATTTTTCAGCTCGTCAATAATTTGTTTATCAAATTCAGCTAAAGTCGTTGATGCTGTTATGGAATAGGTGTTCTCGTACGTTCTAATCTGTGGAATAGAATTTTAGTACACCGAAGTGAAACAGGTTATTTCGATATTGTAATTGTCTGACAGATAATTGTAAGTACCGTAGTTAGCAATTGTTTTTGTGATTACACTAACGCTAATTTATCTACCATTTATTACACCAATGCCCCTTGTTTAAAGTGTCTTTCTTGATGGTTTAAGATTGAATTAGTAATTCACATTGTAATGATTTTGCATCATATTTAGAATTTCATGGAAAAAAGAATAAACGTAATACATCGATAAGATAATAAATTATATTAAACTTTCTTTTAATCATTACAATATGTGCGTATATACTATATTATTTATTTTACCACATATGTACTGTACATTTTAACTTTCGTAATCATTTTGATGTTTTGAAGCTATTAACTTATTATGCTGCGTTTCTTTTTTATAAATCAAGGTTGTATTTTTTTCCTACCAGCTCAAATAATCTATATATTTATTATTTAAAATTTAAATTGTAAAATAAAAGTTTTATCTTTCAAATTCAATTTTCTGATACAGTATATCTGTGCTTTATCATATATATAGAGGTTGGATCCTTTGAATATCCGTCATGGCTATTCAATGAATATTTGCAGATTTTAGTCATCCGTGAATGATAATGAATTAATATTCAGATTTTATATAAATATTCATGAAAGATTCACGGGTATTCGTTGAATATCATGTGATTATATGCAGGTCAAATTCGCGAATATCCACGAATATTCAATTACAGCTATTATCATAATTCCTGAAACACCTGATAAAAATTAGCCGAATGATTTTTCGGCCGATTCGGTTAAGTTATAGATTTCGGGAATAATAAGATTCAGTAACAGATATATCAGATACGTAATTTAATAAGATCAGATGACTAATATATATTACAATAAGACTATTATAAGTTGTAAATTTCAATTCTTACTCTTTGGCACGATCCATTTTTATTCAAATGAAGCCTTTATTCATTTCTAATTATTTACAATGAAAATTTGGTTTTAAAAAACTGTGTAAAATTTCAATTCCTATTCTTTAGCAAGATCCATTTTCGTTCAAATGAATGAAGCCTTTATTTATTTCTAATTTTGGCGAAGACGAAAAATTGGTTTTTAAAATATTGTGTAAAATTTCAATTCCCATTCTTTTGCAAGATCCATTTTCGTTCAAACGAAACCTTTATTATTTTAAACGAAAATTCATTTTTAAAAAATTGTGCAAAATTGTAATTCCTATTCTTTGGCAAGATCTATGTTCGTTTAAACGAAGCCTTTATTCATTTTTATTTTCAATGAAAATTCGTTTTTAAAAAATTGAATTAAATTTCGATTCCTATTCTTTGGAAAGATCCATTTTCGTTCAAACGAAGGCATTTATTTATTTCTAATTATTTTTCGTTTCTTGTCGAAGACAAAAAATTTATTTTTAAAAAATTTGGGATATCTCTAGAAATGATATTTACAAAGCACCTTCGCTGGCAAATCGTTGAAAAAAATTTAGAAGGCTTATCAGTTCGACAAATTGCTAAACACTTAGGTGTCAGCAAGTCTTCTAAACTATCTGCTTCAGATGGACAATCTTTAATTCTTAAATCCACTTCGATACTTTCATTTAATTTTGGATCTCATTCTAATTTTAATCGTTAGTACTAAAATTTTTCAATATATAAACATATAAATTTTTTTACTTTGATAATTCTTCATGCATTCTCGACAAATATAATAATATCTTAGTTGCTTGGAATCCTAACCTGAGATTCATTTTTAAACCAGTCGACAAATACATAATCATATTAACTTTTTTAATAGCGGCACCTGTTCGTGTTATAAAAGTTTAATTTATATCTGATCCCTTTTTAGATTCTTGCTAAGGTTTATTGGTTGACACGAGCAGTCTTTTCCATAAATTTTCGTGCAAACTAAACACCAAGCATGTTGACAAGCGTTGGAACGAAAATTTAATAACATTGACATTATCGTTATAATTGGTCATAATAGCTTTTATTATTTTTATTATATAATGGATCATGCCGAAATCACTAACTTAACCGAATCGCCCAAACAATCATTCGGCTAATTTTTATCAGGTGTTTCAGGAATTATGATAATAGCTGTAATGCTAACGTAAACAAAAATGATCTCCAGACAATTATCATTATTAAAATTAGTTATTGCTTTTTTTTTTTTTTTTTTTTTTTACCAGTAATACGCTTTAGTATTAGCCAGTGTGCAGTAAATATTACTTATCATTTTCATTACATTATTCCTAGTTTTGAGTTTTGTTAGGTTAGACTCTTCCTGTCTTTTGATCTTTTTACATACCGGATAAATCGATAAGCTATAACCATATCAAAGACATCTCTTTTTCATTTTTTTATCAAATATTTCATTTGAATAGAAACATAATTTAATTACATTACATATAAAATCATTGTTAACGGAAGCACATAGCAGCTAAAATACCTCAACGATCTAAATTTTCATTCGCTGCCCATATTATAGCGAAGTATAATCCGAATTAGAAACAAGATCTTAATTATTTGGCGGAACTTGCAGAATGTATATACACATATATAAAGGTTTAGTACATAAAATAGCAAGGTATTGACGAATTATCATACAATGTGATACTTGATACGTGACAAATAATCGGAATGTGACAGTTAAGGTCACGAGGACCAATCAAATATAAGATTTTGTGGAGTAACACCATTTCGATCTTCATATAACCATGCGTGATATGCATCACTCCGTTCCTGGTATTGTATTTTGACACCTAAGTGTCTAATTTATTTATTTAGGCACTTGAGATTAGTCTAAATTAATCTGTAGAAACTTATAAGTGCCACACCTACAAATCATATTTTTTGTATATTTACTTTAATAAAACTATTTTAAAATCTGATATTAAATTGTCTGATTTTAAGGTATTATTAAAAAGTACAACTTGTAAGCTTTCTCTTTGGCAGTACTTGTATATTGCATATAATAAAATTTTTATATATAATTAATCATACAAAATCTACTAACTTTGGATACTTTCAAGCACCTCATTCAATACATTAGAAATAAATTTTTTAATTAAAGTTTTCTCAAGTATATCACTTAATAGATTTTTAATAGTTAGAAATTAAATAATTTAACCAAGTGAGCTATTATTTTAATAAACAGATTAGTGAGCTACAAGCTATTTTTTTTATAAAAAATTTATTATTGATAAAAAACAGGTCTTCTGTGAGTTGAGTTCTCAAACAATTTCAAAAATATGACTGTGCTGATGAATTACTATCACTTTAAATAAACATTATACATATTTTGAACTTAATTATAATTATTAAGACATTGTCAACAAATATTAATAAAATCTTGATCTCTGATTTCAACTTATGTGCAATTTTTTACAACTAAAGATAATTATATAATAAAAAGATTTACAAAATAAGTTTAAAGTTTATATGTTTATTATGAAAGTCCAACCTATATTTAAAACTTTTTTTAGTGAAGATCTATTAATTGGCAAGAACAGTTTTTGGCATAATTTTTATATTATAATTTATATATTTTATAAGGCAAAAAAAATTTTAATAAAGTGTAATGTTAATTGAACAATGTACTATAAAAGTAACTTAAAATTTTTTTATATACAGATTACACTGAAATCAATAACTTATTAAAATTGGCCAAATAGACTTTGGCAAATTTTTTTAGAATATTTCAAAATTTATAAAAACGGCTATAAATCAATTAAATTTGTTAGTAAAACATATCATCAGTAAAACATATTGTCAGTAAAACATATTGTCAGTGAATTAGCCTGTTGGTGTAATGATTGTTTGTTAATTAACTATAGGTGAAATAAACATGTTGGTGAACTAAATGTCAGTAAAATGATTATCTGTAAAATAAACATGTTGGTGAATTAATTGTCAGTAAAATGTGGTGTTTGTGAAGTGATTGTTAGTAAAATGCACACTATCTGAAAAGATAGTATATATAAAGTTGTTTAATTAATAAGAAGAAAGATTAAGATTATTTGTTATAAAAATAACTATTTGAACTAATTTAAATAAATTTAAGAATAGTTAGAGTTAGGGTAAAGGTTATAGTATAATTTATAATTAGTTTAAGATTAGGGTTAGTTTTTTTATATTAAATAATTTTATAATATTTATATATTCCCATCTATACTAAATAAGATCCAATTTGCTTAATCTCGAATCAGTCTGAAAATCAAAACAAATGATTAAACTCAATTATCTAAAAATTTTTTATATTGCAAAATGGGACCTTTTAATGTAAAACGCTCCATATATTAATATTTTTAAAAAAATCAACTTCACATAAAGTTAACTGGGTAGTGGAGCACAAACTGTATATTGCCAAAATAGAAAATTTTTTACAACAACTCATAATAGAAATTATAAATTTCAATACAAACTAATTCAGCCTTAACTATATACTGTAATAGCAAGAAAGTTCTGTAAGAGAATTTTTTATAGTAATTTATGATAAAATCATGATAATTTCATTGCAAATTAACTCAACTCTTAACTACATACTAAATATTAAGTAAGATTGTAACAGAATTTTTATAATAAAATCTTGATACCTCCAATACAAACTAACTTACTACTAAAATACTGAACAAGTTTTTTGACAGAATTTTTTACATTAATTTATGATAAAAATGGGCTTGGTGCTGGGAAAATAATATAAAAAATTCTTAACAAAATATTAATTTTCTCACAAGCTATAAATCAAAATTATATATTTTTGGTACCATTTGTTTCATCTTTATGGCAAATCGAATAGCACCAAAAACATATAATTCTGATTAATAGTTCATGAGTTACTTAATTTTTGTGAATAATTTTTTTATGTCAATTTAATTCCTTTTTCAAGCACCAAGCACATTTATTCCAATACAAACCAACTCAATGACCTTAATTACATACTGCATATCATTGGAAAAGAGTAGATTTCATAATGGACTTTCTTATAATAATTTGATAATTGTAATGCAACCTAGAGTGAAACTGGTTTCGGACTTATAGGGCAAACTAAATTCTTCTGGGCAAAATGTTCAGATTTGAAAATTAGTTTTACCCAAAACATTTTATCATATAGAAATCATGATAATTCAATGCAAAGTAGCTTATCTACATAATGTGGTTACTACAATAGTAAGTTTTATTTCAGTTTTTTACAATTATTCAATATAAATTAGAATAATATCGATTTCTAATTTAGACTGAATTGTATAGAAGTTCCGATAATTCAAATACAAACTGATTCAACCTTAACCAATATAGAGTGTTGCTGGAAGAGTAAGTTCCATAACAGAATTTTATAGTGACTCATGATAGTAATCACAATAATTTAAATACAAACCAGCTTAACCACATACTGGAATAGCAAGTAAGTTCTGTAAACAAATTTTTGCAATAACCTGCAATTGAGATAATTTCACAAAAGCTAAACTAATTCAATCTTAACAACTTAGATATCAAAAAAATTCATAATTATAATGTCTTGGTTCATTAGGTATTAGTGGATCAATCCACTACTACAAGTGACACGGGATATTAAATAACCAAATATCTTATCCTTTTTCTTTTAAAACATAATAACACAATTGTAATATTTAAATAATAAAATCGAAGTATTTTACTTAATAAAGTTTTTTTGATAAAAGTGAGCTATTTTATTCGTTTTAATCAGTGCAGATAAATACCAGTATATCTTGATAAGTTAATTGAACAAAATATTCTAAAGTTTAATCATCACTACATGGTTGATCATGCTGGTCCTGCATGGCATCGCGTGCTGCGCAGCTATCTTATAATAATCATATTGTGACCAGGAATCTTCCCATGAGAGATTCCCGGTTCATATTGATCATCGTGAAACTCTAATTTTTTACGCTTAATTTTTATTTGAAGAATTTTCTTTTTTATATTTTACACATTTTATATAAAGAACTTTAAAAGCCAAAGCAAATAAGCACAGTAATAAAAAAAGTCACGATAAGAGCAAAGCGAGAGTAAGAGTTAAACGTAGAAGTAAAATTTTTGTAAATAAAAAAAATAAAGGAAGCTCAAAAGTCAGTAAAGCACAATACGGATATAAATATGAAACACGTGTAAAAATAATAGTATGGTAGTCCGATTAACATCTAGTGACATGCTTCTGTGGATTATTTATTTATTTTTAATTTCTTGAACAGAATTTATTTCAACTAATCATTTTTAACTCTTATAATAAAGAATAATGTTAACAATTAAACTGTTAGCATCACGTCTTTTCGATCTGTTGACTAACTGTCAACTTGAACGACATATACTTTTTTTTTTTTTTTTTTTACTTTGTTAATTGTTTAATTTTTGGGAAACCCATAAGTGAAGGGGGAATAACGTTAAACAAGGGTTTAATTTCAAGTCCCGATAAGTAATCTTAGAGCCTCGTGACGTAATGTAGAGCTCTAATATAACACCCTAATTACTCGGACCAAGTCTTTCCACGCCTCTTTCGTAGCCTCCTACTATCAGGATCTAGGTTAGATAGTGGTATATTTAGGTAGTAATAGAGTTAGTTGACATCAGTAGTACCATATTGTCGCGGTGTTTCTCAATCCATGTAATCGGATAGCGGTACCATGTGACTTGTGATACGAGCACATGTTGTTCGAATATTGTGATCGGGATTTGAACTCATTGTGAGCCCCGGAAACCTGCGGCCCAAGCATGATTTAAGATCATGGGGATAAGTGCAATTTATTACATTTATTACATTTATTACATTTATTACATTTATTACATTTATTGAATTTATTACATTTATTAAATTTATTACACTGATTGTAACACCGAAGATTTTATTATAAATAAAGGCCATGAAGGCCCTGAGAACAATAAGTTCCATTTGCTTACAATAATCGTCCCCTGATAAAAATTGCCCAATTACCCAATTGACCCATAAAAACCCTAAAGTACCTTAGTAAATAATCCGCTATACTAAATACCTTTACCCTGATCGATCACTAAGTGGCATAGTGAAAGATCTTCGTTCGTAAATTGTATTGCCCACATGACTTCGAAGAAGAATTGCTGTTCCGGTTGATTCTCGACGGACTGAGGACTGCCATGGTTTTTTCCAGCTCTCCCAACGTACCAAGGACAGTTGTGGTTGTTTTTCTAGGTTCCCCAACGGACTGTGGGACCTGTGGTTATTGTGTTCCGGTTTGAGGTCTTAGTGGAAGAACTCAAGTCATGGTTTCGTCAGAAATATTAAAGATTGATAACATAAGTGTTAGTGTGCCATATAAGGCTCCATATAAATTTCAAGAAGAATACCTACGTCTAAAATTACCCACTCGCCAAATCTAAACGCCTCTTCGACTAAGCCGAACGTAGGTTACACAAGGTCTCGATTTGATTAGCGACCGACTCGCCGTCTTAGGTTATCATACTGTCATACAGGAAGATCCCCAATTCCTGGTCAGAATGCATCGGAATCTGGTCGGCAGGGCCGGAAATGATCGTTTGCCCAAAATCACTAAGAATTTTACTAATGAAATCGTGGCTATTTATTAAGTGAAAAGTGCCCAGCTAATAATTTTGCTATAGAACCTACTAACCACTAGGCTAAATGCCGACCTAAATCCGACCAGGAATTTTGGGGATTGCTCTGTAAAAATTCGGGATTTGCATGAATGGCATAATCCCGATTTAATTAAAAGTCTAAAATGAACAATGTAGTAATTAGAAGCGATTAGTATTGCATGAACAATGTAGTAATCATTAGCGATTAGTATTAATAAATAAGGCATCGATCCAAATTAAAGGTGGAGTACCTGTACGATACTCCAGTCATCGTATACAAAAGCAAAGCGAGTAAGACCGATATGAAAGATTAAGTAGTATACGTAGTGTTGATAAACTACGTGACACATATTTTGGGATTCCGAAGTAGTTGCTTCCTTTGCACTGTGCAGCACAAATTTTAAATACTGCAAGTGCCGAACACAGTATTATTAAACATAGTGCCCATAACTGTGCCTAGCACTAAGTACCATGCAGGACTTTACTACTATTTTCTATATGACTTATTGACCCGGGTTGATATCTGACCAATAATTATTAACCCGGGTAAGAACTTCCAATGCCAAAACCCTGGGCCGAGCCGGCCAACCTTGACTAAGGATTTTCAATTTTGTTTCAATTTATATTTTGACTTTTTTTTTCCGAATATATTGAATGAAAAAAATTGCATTAAATGAAGATCCCGTATCGAATAAAATAATAATAATAACAATAAGTAATTGATTAAATAAATTACCGGTTATTATAGATACCGATAAGTTAATTATAAAAAAAAAAAATATATCGGCAATAAAAAAACGATGAGCAAAAGAAAATATTATTTGGGTCTTTGCCGTCTTTGCTATGATACGGGACATATAATTTAATATGCCCTATAACGTGATTTTCAACATTTATTTATATTATAGCCGTTTTCATTCATATTTCTAGGAATTCGGAATAATTAATAAGGAAACGGATTTCTGATGCTTATTATTCAATCTCCTGATTTCCATGGGTGTATTGAAATCATCGTTCACGCTTGAAAAGATAAAAATAAAATATTCCCGCACCTAATATAAATTTAAAAAAAACCCTAGCATCAAAAGTATATCAAAAAAACCACCCAAATAACAAAAAGATCACACATGACTACATTTGTATCACTTATTCTTTCATGCGGCCAAAGAAAATTTATCTATACATCGGCCGGCCCGGCCCACAAAGATACGGGTCAACCCTTGACCGGCCGATGTGCTGGGTCAGCCCGTATCATTAGTAAGAGCTCTACACAGTATGGTCATTAGAATAACGAGTAAGTTCTATAACATAATTTTTACCGTAAATTATAGAAATTACAATAATTCAATACAAACTAACTTCACCTACTGTGTTACCGGAGTAGCAAGTTTTATAATATAGTAACTTAGGATAAAATCATGTTTTCAAATACAAAGCAACACAACCATATTATTTAGTATAGTCACCAGAATAACAAACAAACTTTGTAAAAGAATCTTTTACATTAACTCACAATAGGAATCATGATAATTTCGATGCAAAATTCTAATGCAAACAACTCGACCTTAACAACATATTGTGGCTACAGAATAATGAGCAAGTTCTATATCAGATTTTTTTACAGAACTTATAGCAGAATCATGATAACACTAACCTTAGCCACTGTGTGTACTGCATTATCAAGTAAGTCCATAACAGAATTCTCTACAGTAAATTATGATAGAAATCAGAATAATTCTAATGCAATAGCTGATAAGCTTTGTGATAGAATATTTTACAGTAACTCACAAATATGATTAGAAAAATACTAAATAAGATAGGTGGTGCATAGCGCCACCCATCACACTATATTATATTATACTATATTTTTAAAAAATTTTAAATTACATTACCGGTATAATGCAATTATAAAATGTAAAAAATTATACATTGTCTACTGTATTGTACTCATTGGAAGATCACTAACATTTTCAGATGATTCTTTCGAATTGTGTTTTCTTCCAATATAATCTCTAAGGGTATGAAGTCCATACACCAGAAAAAAACATACAATAAAGAAAATAAGGAAACCGATATAACGAAGTGAGACAGCTGCTGGAGAACCACTATGCCAATCTAAAAAATCATATATCCAAAATCCATGTGTATAATAGATAAGGAAAGTTTCCAACATATAAAGTACTTGAATAAAAATCGTTATAAATATGAATGATATTTTCATTACTTGACGATTTAAAAATAATTCAATCAGCATGGTCACAAATTCTAAGCCATGCACAGAAACACTTAACCACCAGATGTACCACGGATTATTTTCTTGAATAAAAGTACTTGAAAGTAAGGTCCAGTATACAAAAACAATAAGGACGCTATTTATTTAATAAAAATATGAATAAGTCATAAATATAAAATTTCAGCATTATCAAATTAAGTAAAGTTTAAGGTGACTTACTGATAATGTACAACTGTGTGATAAAGAATCCAAAATAAAAAGTTGTGCAATTTTGAAAACTTTTCAAGGGAGTTTGACCGGATTGAATAGAATGCTGCGGCCTATAAGTTAAATTTATAAGCAATTAATTATAAATAATAAAAATATGTTTAAAAAAAAAGAAAACTTGCTTACCGTAAAATAAACTGTTTGACCGATATAACTCAAAATAGTAAAGTAACATAAAAAACATTCCGCATCGTTTTCGAAACCATATTGTGCAAGAAAGTGTTCACGTAATGCATAATCTAATAACTCTCCAATCAGAATAATCCAAGAATAAATTGCAACCACAAGGCGAAAAATTTTTAATATTTTCGGACTTACGAACCAAGAATTGACTGTTAAATGTGGATCAAATTCACCCCAATGGAAAAAGTTCATCTTGAAATTTACGAGACAAAAAAAAAGAAAGTGAATATATATTACAGAAAATCTGTATGGTATGGGTGATCTAATGAGGGTGTACAATAAACTATCCATACTAATCAGCTATTTTTCCGAGATTTCATTTTCAGAAACATATTTGATATTGTCAGTTTCTAAAAAAGGAAGTTCCGAAAATTAAGAATTCCTGGTTTTTCCTTGGCGGCATTCATATATAATAGCTGGTCTGTATGGTACGTACGCCATTCCATACTGATCAGATATTACAAAAAATAAATTAGTATGGTATTAGTATGGTTTTTTGTTGAAAATCAATACCATACTGATCTGATTATATGTAGCTAGTGTTAGTGTAGAATTAATTTTGCTGTTATGTCATGTGCCGTTTAATTCCGTAATTTTTATGCCGCAATGCAATACCATAATGTTGTATCTAAATATTATAATGCTATTGCTGTATTGTGTTAATGATGCAATAACATAGGATAACATAGGGTTACATTCTTCTAGTGTTGTATTGTTTAAAGTAATTTTTAGAATTAAGATAACGTACAGTAAAATTACTAAATAGTTAATCATTGATCATCTTTAATTTTTTTTTTTTTTTTTGCCGTTTGGCCAAGGTTATTTCTTGCAGTTGGGAGTAAAGTTGGCTTTCAGATTATCCTAAATAAGAAGACTGGTTATTGGATATTCTAAATTCCTAAATTGTCTCAAATTATCCTACCATCTGATCCTGCTCAGACTGGTTAACGAAAGCACTTACAAACTGTGTTTCAAACTCTGTTTTAAAACCAGCTATGCATATTTGTCTGAACATATTAGTTAAACCAGTTACACTTTTATTAAAATACATACATAAACATAAATTTGTGCATTTGCATAATATCGATATATATATATATGTTATTACTATTACATTCATACAGTGTAGTACTGTATTTATAATAGTGATGGGTGACGCATGACGCAACTTGCGTCGTTGACGCATGACGCGACTTGCGTTGACGCATAACGAAACCATTTCGTCAGGCAACTTCGAATTGACGAAATGACGCATGACGCAACTTATGACGCATGACGCGACTCAT